TGGAATAAATCATAGAACCGTTCGAGTTGAACAGATGTAGAACATGCGCCCATAGTTCTTCTCTGTCTTTGCCATCAATGCCTTGACAATGCGGCATTTGCATTTATCGCAGTGGACAAGAGGGAGAATGACTCTACTCCCAGCCCTCTGGATGGCCCCATCGAACTGCTGCTCCCATCCATTTGGGCGGCGCCGAAGTGGAGCGGTGCTGGCTGGCGCCTGCAGTGGAGGGGAGGCGTGAAGCGAGCTCTGCACCAGCAGGGAGAGAGAAGGCGTGGGCCTGTGCTTGGCAAGGGAGGAGGCGTGGGGAAGGCCAAGAACGGCATGGGGAGGGGAGCGGCGTGGTGGGGCAAGGCGGGCTTGGGAGGGGGCGGCGTGGGGAAGGCCACGCCAAGCGCGGAGGGGCGCGCGTGGTGGCAGGGCGGTGCCGGCAGGGGAGGGGGCGGCGTGGGGAAGGCCAGCGTCGGCGCTGGCACGGGGAGGGAGCGACGTGGGGAAGGCCAGCGCTGTGGATGGAGGAGAGGGCCGATCCGTTTTTGTTCAATCCGTTCTGATGAAAGTAACATCGCCAGGGGTAGGAATAGAAGGAGGCCTCTTCTTTTTTCACGAATTAAAACTACATAAAGTGTATTCCAGCGGGTTGCATCAGTTTTATAATGGCAAAATTACGAAACCACTTTGAGGGATGGTAAAACTGCGAAACCTGTTTTCTAATGATTGGTGAAATGCCAAAGTCTCATGGAAGCTGGGACATGGACGCCGCTGCGACTGGTCTCTTGTGGAAGATGTGCTGCCGCCTCGAGTGGGAGCAGAGGGGTGCCTGACTGGGCCGCCTTGGGCTGTTATAAGGCCGTGGGAGAGCTATGGTTGGGCCTATCCGCATATTTTTAGTTTGCTCGGTTATTTCGGTTATCCAACAACTAAAACCGAGATTATTTTTCTCATATTAACAAAGCCAACCATTTATCTAGGGTGCATTTTCTATACTCCCGGAAGCAGTTTCTCCCACATGCAAGTATACAGGGTCCTTCCAGCCAGTCCAGCGGACGTACAGGTTAGTGGATATCTGGAGGATCCAATTTGGCATGCCGCATGCATGTAACAAATTTAATTAATGAATAAATAAAATAATATAATATATACGGCTGTACAGTCGCCGTGATTCTCGCTGACCGTGATTCACCTATCTGTATTACTATAAGTTTGCTCGTGTATGAGTATGAGTACGACTACATATTAATCGGTCAGCAATATATGTGTTATCTAACATAAGGAGTACCTGTATATACTTTTTAGAATGGAGTGTCGTACATACTTTTTAGAATAGTATTTATACATACATTTTGAATACTTTTAGAATAGTATTTATACGTACTTTTTGAATACTTTTAGAATAGTATTTATACATACTTTTTGAAATGAAGTATCTATACTTATTAGAATAGAGTATTTATACATACTTTATGGAATGGAGTATGCAGACATACGACATAGTATAAGTGCATACTTAGACCACACGGTCGGAGTATATGTGCATACATTCACGTATGGAGGTATACAAAACAACGAGTATGTATTCATACTATTTTGAGAATAAAATATACGTGCATACTTTTTTTTGAGAAGGGAGTATATGTATATACTTTTCTCGAGAAAAATTACACCAATGTAATAGTCACATGTCGAAATCAAATCATCAGTAATAAAAATCCAAGGATAATTGAATCAGCTCACTGCCAATGCCTGCACCCTATCCGCATGGAGCAGCCGGTGGGCGCAACAACTCATGCGTGCAGGATTGCACGAACCAAATCCCACGACGACGGCGGGCAGCGGATGCGGATCGGAGCAGCTTCACGCAGACGGAGGGTCGGGGTCGCCGCCGTCAACGCAGACGGGAGGGTCCGTGCCGCCGCCGGATCAGTCGTTGATGCGAGGAGGAAGGAGGCGCCATTGAAGCACCTTCACGGCCACCGTCCGCACGATCCAGATCCGCCGCGCCAGGGGTGGCGGGGGAGGGGGCTCGCCGCTGCCGGGGGCCGCGGAGCCCGATGGCCTGGCCGCGCCGCCGTCGGCGCCGCACAGCGCGCTGGCTAGATGAGGACGAAAATGCAGTCAACGATGATTTGTTCCTACGTATGTACTCGACCCATCGTCTCCCTGATCCGCTTTCCACGCTAATTATCCGGACACCCTACGCTAATTTTTAATTCACGTACATACGCATACCACGCGTACCGACGCTAGGTACAAACGGGTCAAGTTCTTAACCCGTTAGCTCCGCTAACTGGCCGGGCGGCCTCCTGCGCTCCTGGGAGGAGGGAGCAAGCCCCGTTTGGCAGGGCTTTTTCACCGCCTTTAAAAGCCGTTTGGAATTGTTTTCTATCAAACGGGGTAAAGTAAAATAGTTTTATTTGTGAAGCTCTAAAAATATGCTCTTACAGTGATTTGGGGTGGGATGGAAAAAAAAAGGGGCTTCTCCCGGCTCCTCCTCTAGGTCCCTAAAAACATGTTCTCACAGGAAAGCCATTTTGCCAAACGGTTTACCAAAACCGCTTCAGCTCCACTGGTGGAACTGTTCGTGGAGCTGAAGCAAAAAAAAAGTGGCTTCACTAGTGAAATGAAGCCCTGCCAAACGGGGCCTAAAATAGTTTCACTTGTGAAGTTCTAAAAACATGCTCTCATAGTGATTTTGGGTGGAATGGAGCAAAAAAGTGGCTTCTCCCGGCTCCTCCTCTAGGCCCCTAAAAACATGCTCTCACAGAGAAACTATTTTGCCAAACGGTTTACCAAAACCGCTTCAGCTCTACCGGTGGAACTGTTCGTGGAGCTGAAGAAAAAAAATAGCTTCACTAGTGAAGTGAAGCCCTGCCAAACAGGGCCTAAGTATAGAGTAGGAAAAACTTTCTCTCTATCAGCCCGTTCGCCTGTTGGTTCCAGTCAGGGTTTATCAGTCAGCCAATAGTATTTTTTTTCTCACAATAAACCAGCACCAGCCGGGCTTATCAGCCCAGAAACCAACCAGCGAACAGGCTCTATATCTATATCTAATAATAAAGAGACAAAATTTCTGACTATTTTTTTCGTCCATCTATTTTTTTATCCGTCTTCCTCTAACTACCGGATAATAGAAAGTTTCTTCCGTCTGGACTTATATATATACAACTCATGCTCGTACGAGTTAGAATAGCTCTTGTCTAGCGGCGCAATACGGAGTCGGATTTCAAAATATATTAGGTTGTGTATGGTCTATGCTTAACAAAGGGTCCATACTCCTACGCAAAAAAAATCCATACCCCATACGATTACTATATAGAGTAAATCTGGCTTTTTTCTTTTCCTATTCCATCATCTATTCGGCCTTTTTCTTTTTCTTTTTGACCATCTCCGATCAGTTACCGTATCCGATCCGTTTTTCATTTTCGTATTCGTTCCACTTCTTTTCTTGATTTCCTCTTTTTGTTTTTTCTTCTTCTTTTTCCTTTTTTTTTCCTTTTCTGGACTATCAAGTCCCTTCATGCCCTTTCCCAATTCTCTCATGATTTTTCTTATAAACATAAAAAAAACACAGTATTATGGGTCTTTGGATCCTTCGTCCTCCCCTAATCCTTAATAATAAAATATTTCTACTAATAAATTATTGATGTAATTTGATTAAGAATAAAAATTATTTTTATTATAACCTAGATTAGATAATGGTCTAATTAATTAAATCATGAACAGAAATCTTGGGCAATTTATTGTCCAATCTAACCGGGAAGCGGCAGCGGGGGTTGTGCCTCCAACAGATTTGGCGCCGCAGGAGGCGTTGGTGGCCGGGGAGCGAGGCGGCCACGACAACCTGTTAGGGTGGGGAGGCGAGCGGAGAAGGTGCGGGGTGCGGGCTGCCTAGAGGGATTCCTCTTTTCCACTGAACTTTTCCGCTCATTCATGAATAATTAAGAATTTTTGTATATTTCTACTGATTTTGCAGGACATAAGAAATTTGCTAATTTGGCTGACATTATTCTAAATTGCACTTTTATAGACGGTCAATGTCCTAATGTAATTATTGCTTCATTGCCGATGGATTAAATGGAAAATATACATATTACTAAGTAGAGATACAAGTTTTTTCTCAAAAAAAGATACATGTTCTCATTTTCTCCTGTGTGCAACGCACGAGCATGTTTGCTAGTATATATAAAAAACCGATATTATTTTCTGATATTATTTTAAATATTTAAATTCGAAATTATGACAAAAGAAATTCTGTTTCGATTAGTTCTCTTTGTCTCGGTTACCGATTTATTTATGATGACAAAAAAACTGATTATTATTTTCTCAGTTTCAATCGAATTTTGTTAAAAAGCTTTCGTGATCTTACTCGGTTATTCCAGGCTGAGTGCGAGGAGCTTGGGCAACTTTGAATTTTAAGGTCACACAAGGCTCCTCCCCTAACGCCGTGCTTGAGCGGATTAGAAAGAGTATGAACAGCTACTTCCACAGAATACTTCCTTCAAGAAATTCATTCGCTATCTTTACATTGCTGTATATCATATTATCGGTCACTGTAGCTCAGATTTTAGTTATGCCAGCAGCCTAGCTCACCTTTTCAATTATGCACCAGCATGTTCTTAACAGAAACTTGCAATATCGTTGGCACATGAAGCAAGGACACACCACTTGCCTGCACCCTCCATGGAAATTTCATTATAAAGCTGCAATGGCCGATGCCACAGCCATAAGATGATGATATCCAAAGGACAATTATGATGTACATTTCCATTGCCTTGCCGTAGTACAACTACACCGTAGTACAACTACATTCTCTCTCCCCCAAAATGGCGAGGAAGCAGTCGCCTCTGTACACCACCAGCAAAAGCTACCGACTCGCCCCAGCCAAGCCAGTCTAACTCCTAAGTAAACCCTAGGGTTAGTAAGACAAAAAAAAAAGGAACTAAACTTGTCGAGCATCTAGCAATATGCTTTCCATGGCACTATCCCAGCTACCTGGTACCTCAGCTCTTGTTAGAAGCACTCAGATTGGAACCCACAATTGTCAAGGGTTTCTCCTCCAGGAAAGCATACACTCGCGATCTGAATTTCTGTGCTAGTTCAGCGAGATCATTCGCCATCCGGGTCTGGGGCAACCGGTTCGCAACGTCGATCGTCAAGGTTGCGCATAACTTGCTCCTCGTCAGCACTTCCAAAGTTGGTTTTGAATAGTTAGCGTGTGATGCCAGCCGGTTTAGGAGGATAAGAGCTTCTCTCATCAACAAACACCTGCAGAAATAATTTTCACATTAATACTACAAATCGCAGACTAAGAGCAATTTGGAGTTTACTCAGCAATATCTCCACATTCATGCTCTGATACAACAAGCTAGGAACGCACAAGACTGGGGTAGCAAAGTTTGATGTACCTTTCTTTTAGTAACTCTTGTGTTTCATATTGCATCTGCGATGCAAGAACTTCCATTATCATCTCCAAAAAACTGGCACCACGGGCATTCACTGGACCTAAAAGCACCTCATATCCCAATTGGCCACTGGAAGCTATATAAGCTAGCAGAATGATAACAAGCCGGCAAATCTCAATCCCCTGAAAAATATAGTTGTTCAGCTAAGGTAAAGTGAAATAAACAAGTTATGCTGAATCTAAAAAAAGTCTCTAGGTGAAAAAAGTTTTCAGGGAATATCATGCAACGCCTTTTGTTTATCAGCGATAGGTGAAAACCATCACGATGTTCAAACCATGTGGACAGAACAATAGAATCTGGCTAAATGTAAATGCAGATTTCCATCCTGAATAACTAAAAGAGATAAGTAGCTTACCAGAGAACAAGTTGCCTCAGAAGTCAAACAATCAGATAAATCCGCAAGAACTGAGCTTATGACTTCTTGTGATCTATTGTTTTCACAAGCTTCCGATTCCATCTGTTCGGAGCCATCTTTGCCTCCACTACACAGCAACTTCAACATCACTGGGCCTAACAGAACAGGAATTAGGTTGCAATTGCAAGGATTAAAGGCAGGGAAAGTTACTACATAAGTGTAACATATTTAATATATCTTTGAAACTGAAAACAAAATTATTTTAACGAGGAACCTACATTAAGCCGATCCCACAATAGCTGAACTCAATTCTATATAAGCATATCAAAGGAAAGGTGTGGGACAAACGTCTTTGGTAACAGTTAACACTAAAACACCAACAAACAAATCATGTTTTTCGATCTAGCCATTAAAAACAGAGGCTCCACTACTGATTCCCCTTATGCTTATGAGGGATGAGAAGTCCCCAAGAACCAGGAAGAAGCGTCATTAAAAAGACCAGGTAGCTAGTCCACAGAATGCACACATTGCAGTGTTCACCTGGCAAGAACAGTTCTTGCATGCTAGCATCTTCAGTTCTAAAGCTAGTGTGAAGAAATCAAACATACAAGCACAGGAACTTACAATTCAGAAGCAAGAAAAGTAGACGCACAGAATGCTTCTTAACAAGCAATCCGTTTTCTTTCTGCAATAGCAGATGTAATCTCGTCATTACAGAAGTAAATCCGAATCTGAAAGTAGCAGCATTATATCATTAACATCCAACATCATAATAAGCAACTAAACAGAGGAAACATAATTCAGATGCTTGCTTACTTATGGCGTTCCTCTTTGGGATCTGTCGACCTTACAATGAGAATCATTATGGATAATGCATCAGTACGAATTGTCTCTTCGGAGTACTTGACGCCAATTTGAAGCATTGCAGTGAAAAGTGAACTCCATAAAGTAAAAGGAAGAAACATATTATGCTGTCTCAATGAATCTTTTGCATCCAGTGGACTCAGCAAGGTGGAACAGTCTTTGTGGTTGTTCTCCATGTGTATGTTAACATATGGTTCAACAGAAACGTTGTTCCTGAGGGTACACTGAGAAAAATCAAATTAAAGTTCATAAGCATGGGAACCTACAATAGTAATAAACAAGGAAAAAAGGAGAACATTATGCAAGCCACCCTTGAGTAAAAAAATCTAACCAGTTTATTTCATTTAGAAACCACGTCACCATTTAACTCTAAGAAAATTTAAAAACTGAAGCAGAAAGGAACACATAGTTTACAGATCAAGAAAGAATGGCATCCCAAAACGTATCGAGTGAAGCAATACAGATCACTTTACAGCTTAGATCTAGGGAAATATTCCAGGTCAAATTTTGAATTAGAGAAAAAACATGAATATTGTCAGTTAATTACTGTTTGAGTTCAGTGCTAAACCTAAGCACCATATTTACTTCAACTGTGAAATGCAGTTGCTGTCTACTAGTAAAAATGTATTCCATGCACGAGTAAAGCATACCTTCCACTAGACTTCGCTCCATGATGCAGTAAGTGCTGCAAAACTCTGAGCAATACCCTCAAAGTTCTACCAACTATAGCAGCCTGAAATACAGAGGTAAAAATGAATAGCATGTCCAACAAAGCCAAAATACAGCGTTACTCAGTCCAACATCACAATCCACAAGAAAAGTGAAAAGACTGACATGCATATATAGCAAAACCATTACAACAATGTAGCAAATAAAATTAAGTGTATTCATTAATCATTATTGTTTCAACTCTATAGCAATAGTATATATCTGATGGGGTGACGCTATGAGAACTCAAACAAAAGCCGCAAAGTGATGAGTGAATGTACCATTGATGTTTCAACAGGGACGGTTGAACCAGTTTTGCTAGCATTTTCCCAAGTCTGCATCAATTAACTGCTTGCTCTTTTATCATTCATAAAGAAATAGACCTAAAATGTACAGCATTGCTTCATGCTCACTACAGACAGGGTTTTAAGATAGTTTTTCTGCAGGTTCCTTCATTCCTTGTTAGTTAAACTACTGGATCTATGATGCCTAAAGTCACCACTTCTCACAATAAGGTGCACTTCATGCTCACTACAGACAGGGTTTTAAGATAGTTTTTCTGCAGGTTCCTTCATTCCTTGTTAGTTAAACTACTGGATCTATGATGCCTAAAGTCACCACTTCTCACAATAAGGTGCATGATTAAAATGGAACTTAGTCAAAAGTAAATTGCTGTCCATAAGCATTAACATTAGAAACCATCATTTTCCTTCCCCCACAGTTACAAAGATTAACATGAAAACCTCAATACCACATCAAATAACTTCTACTGATTTAAGAGTAAATTTCACAAAACTACAATTGTTAGCTATTAGAAAATTGTAGTTCTATAGTATCAAGTGCTAAAATAGTTTATTGTTGTGATACACGTCAAAATAGTTGCAGATCTCTGGGTATTATATCACAATAGTTGTAGTTCTGTGAAATTTACTCAAATTTTAATGCTAATTAAAAAATAAACGTGAACAGATCATTCCAGTATGTATCAGTATTAACATAATTAGTACAAGATCATACTCTTGTGCCGCTACACCTATACTCCATAGTCCATACCAATAAGGAAGCACACACACATATTCATCAAGTGCATCTAAGCGATAATAGAAATGGCAAAAAAAAAAACGATGCTACAAATGAAAGGAAAAGCTCAGAGTCTCGGATCTTACATTATCAAAAGCACAGAGATTTAGCAATGCTTCAAGGAAAGTTTGTATTGATATCTTCCCACTATTCATCTGCCAAAAATGAACAATTAAATTGATCGTTTTAATCAACTTAAATGGCATGATCAAAAGGAAAAATGGAAGGAAATTTTGATTTTTTTTAAAGATCCTGGCTACTTCAAATGCAGACAATATGTGGGCATTTCATATGCAGATCCTGAATTGAAATGTTCAGGCAGTTTAGGACATCTTGTGGCTAAATACAAGTCTTATATCAGTCCCGGTATAAAAAGACAGGTGGAAAGATCAAGAGTAAACTGGAACAGTTGTCTGACATTAAGGCTCAAGTTCAGTCAGAAAATTCGTATGCCCACCATTGAAATGCATGTCAGGGTGAACTGCAACAGGGAAATACAGAAGGCACTTTTTACATGGTACTCACCTTAATGAACATGTCATACACTTGGGAAATAGCTTCATTCATGGAGGAGCTTGGTTCAGAAGAGGGTTCACAGTTGTCTGACAATCTAGTACATTGGAGAAGTGACAAAATTTCTTCTGAACAAGAAACAGTGATCTTTGATATCAAATTCCTTCTTGATAAACTGTTAGGTGACATGCCCCACATTGCACGTAGGTTACTAGAGATACGCTCAACCAATACTTTATTGCACTCAAGATGTTCATTGTCGGATGTTTTATCTGTCTGTACTCCTATTGCCTTAATTTCCTTGCATGTAATGCTCCTTTGTTCAAAATGGGTATTCTCCTACCAACATAACAGAAAATATAATTTACACAAGTTTTGGTACTATATATATGACATAAAAGGATGAAAATAAGATAGGGGCATTACCTCCAGAGGCACTACTCCGGATGTACTTATTCCTGTTCAAGACAAATCATCGATAAGATTCAAAAAGGAGGGGAGAATAAGAAAGGAAGTGTTAGCTACAAACTGAGCTTAACATCTTACCATTATCAATCATGGTGCGACGCCTCAGTTCCAAGGCCTCAGGCAAATCAGTTTGTTGCCCTTGCTTTAGATACAAATCATCTCGCAAGGAATGGACATCCTTATCTCTGCCATTCATCTTGTCTGTTCGCCTAGTGGATGTCCTAGAAGAACCCCCAGCATGCAAAGCCCCATTTGCAGGGGCGTGAAAGGACTGATCAATATCCATCCCTGCACTGCATACATCTTTGCTGGAGCTGATGAATAAAAAGAAAATGAAAGGGGAAAACAGTGTCAACAGTCTTGGAACTGATGCAGAAAGCAACATATGTGAATCAAGTAATATTTCAAAAACCCCGCCCCCCAAAATCCTGCTTCATTCAGAATGAACTAGACATGTTCAATTTCTTCAGATACAGATAGATGACAAGTATGCTAACTCACAGTGAGCATCATGGTGATTGAAATAATGAGTTGCTGAAACCAGTCGTACTTACACATTAGCTTTTCTCAGATTTTGAATCTCCTCTTCTTTAGCTTTGATTTGAAGATCTTTCTTTGTTCTGTCCTTTCTCAGCTCGGTGCATTCATTTTTCTGCAAACAAGATTACAAAGAATCAACACCTGCTGATCATACGAGTTAGCTAAAAACAATCCCCATTAATCGATAAAAAAGAGTTTGTCAGCAGCACCAGTTTAGTAGATCAGACCTCATCTCAATTCAGATTCAAACAAGGTAAAAATGCACAGTTCAAAGGATTCACAGAAATACAGAATACCGCCACAGATGATAACACAAGGTACGCACCAATTCATTCATTTGCTTCGAGACACGGTTCAGCTCCCTCTGCGGTGGTTAAGATCAAAAGCATTAGGAACAAAACGCAAATGCATCTACGCCAAGTGAACCGCCACTCCGCTCCAAACACAGAGAAAGAAATCACCTTGAGCCTCTCGAGCTCCCTCGCTTCCCTGTCCCTCTTCACGCCCACGCCGGTGCCCACGAAGCAGTGGTCGCCAGCGGAGCCCGACGCCGCGACGATCGCGAGGCTGCCCTCCTTGGGCGCCTGGCGCTGGGAGAGCTCGCGCGGAGGGGAGAAGCCGCGCGCATCCCTGGCGCTGGCGGCGACGGTCGGCGGCGGGAGCGGCGGCCGCTGGGAGAGCTCCCGCGGAGGGGAGAAGTGGAGCGGTGGGGAAGGGTGCGAAGCGGCGGGGAGGTAGGAGGCCGAAGAGGCGGGGAGGTAGGAGACGGGGGTGGCGGCGAAGGGGCCATACGTGGGGATGGGAGCGGGCGCGGGTGTGGGGGTGGGAGTGGGGTTAGGGTTGCGGGAGGCGACGGCCTCATCCGCCGTGCGGATCAGCTCGGCGATGAAGGTTGCGTCCTCCCACTCGTCGTCCAGGCCGCCGTCCATCCCCGCGCTCCCCCTCCCTACTCGTCTCACCGGCGCTGGAAGCGGAGGCGGCGGCGGCAGTGCGCGTAGTTATGTATGTCCCGCAGCCCGATGGCACGGCCGAAGCACGGTTTTTGTCCGGCCCAAGCACGGCACGGGCCCATATTGTGAAGGCCCAGGGCCGGCATGGCCCGATGCACAGAGCCATGCCGGGGCCACACCCAGGCACGCAGGCTGACACAACACGGCCCGCATTTTCGAGGCTGGCCCGATAGCGGCCCAATGATCACCCTGGCGGCCTGGCTTGCAAATAGCCCAAGCCTCCTTCCTATGTACACTAATCATAACTTGCTTTCACGATCTCACGGTTCACACCCTGCGTCGCCCCTCTTTCTCCCAACGCATTCATGCACACGCACACCACGCATGCTCCTCCCTCTTCCGAGTTCGACCCTGCCTTTCCTTCTCCTCCCGCTTTTATGGTCGAGATGGCGGACTAGAGGGAGGATGAATAGTTCTTTCTAAAATTAATCGCGTCGGCTAACCGAAACAAGTGCGGAATTAAAACTATCGGTCAAGCCAAGACTACACCCCTCTATCTATGTTCTTTATCACCTTCCAAAGATACTAATTAAGCAAACAAGGGTGCCGGGCTAGCTAGAACTCACCTAACCAATTCTAGAAGCAAGGTCACACAAACCTATGCCACTAGTACTTTAAGCAACAAGGGAGCTCCTACACATGCTAGTAAGCAAAAGCACAAAGCCACCAAATGCTCACTAACAATGCTCAATAACAAGGCAACAAATGCCAAATTAGAGAGCGCAATTACTTAGCCACACAAACTAAGCAATGTGACTAACAAGATCACACAAACCAAATTAGCCACGCAAGGGAGCTACTTCTATGCTACACAAGCAAGAAGGTAACTAGTAAGCTACACAAGCTAACTAATTATAAGAGCAACTACACAAGCACAATGTATGCAAAAATAGTTACAAGCTTGTGTAACGAGGATGCAAACCAACGAAAAGAACAAGTTTGACACGGTGATTTTTCTCCCGAGATTCACGTGCTTGCCAACACGCTAGTCCCCGTTGCGTCGACCGCTCACTTGGTGGTTCGGCGGCTAATTGGCATCACCCGCCAAGCCCACACGTCGGGCACCGTAAGAACCTACCCCAAAAGTGAGGGTAGCTCAATGACACGCTCAACTAGAGTTGCTCTTCGCGGCTTCCGAGGGGCGAGCACAATGCCCCTCACAAAGCTCTTCTCCGGAGCACCGCACAAGCTTCTTGCGGGCTTCGACAGAGACCACCACCAAGCCGTCTAGGAGGTGGCAACCTCCAAAAGTAACAAGCACCACCGCCTTGCAACTCGATCACCTAGTGCCACTTGATGCTATCTCACGATGTAATCGCACTAGAATCGCTCTCTCACACAATCGGATGATCACTATCAGTATGTGTGAGATGGAGGGCTCCCAAGCACTCTCAAACATGCGACACAAAGTCCCCCGAGGTGCTCAGCACCAGCCATGGCTGAGACACCTTCTATTTATAGCCCAATGGGCTAAACTAGCCGTTACTCCTTCACTGGGCAAAACTCGGGACGACCGGACGATCCGGTCGTATCGACCGGACGCAGGACCTCAGCGTCCAGTCAATGGATGCTCGCCACGTGTCGCCTCCATTCAACCTCAGTCACTTGATCTCAATGCTCAAGTGATGACCGGACGCAGCTGCTCAAACTGACCGGACGCAGCAACCCTAGCGTCCGGTCGTTTCCAGTAAGGTACCAGTCGCTACCGGACGCGTTCGGTCGGTCATGATCGGACGCAGCATCAGCGTCCGGTCCTTCTCCAACTTTTCTATGTCGCCTACGTCACCATACGTCAGCCTGACTGGACGCACCCTGCCAGCGTCCGGTCACTTTCAGCGCCAACGTCCGGTCGGAGACCGACGCCTACACGCTCTCTGCCGCCACTAACCGGATGCAAGACCCCAGCGTCCGGTCACCACGTGACCAGCATCCGGTCCACTCTGTGAGACCCTGTCTTTTCTATATAGGACGCCGGTGGCACCGTCGGATTGTCAGCACTCTACGGGCGGACACTCCGCCGGTGAAGTTCCTAACCCTTCTCGCCTCCGTTTCATCGCCGAGTTGATCCACATCAACTCCAACTTCATCTCCTTTGTAAATGTGCCAACACCACCAAGTGTACACCATCATGTGTATGTGTGTTAGCATTTTCACAATCATTTTCCAAAGGATTATCCCCTCAACTTGCCACGCCACTCAATCCTAGCGACGATGCAAAGATAGATCATTCGAGTGGCACTAGATGATCGATATGCAAACAAGTTTGCCCCTCTTGATAGTACGGCCATCTATTCTAAATCCGGTCATCAACTTCTCTACACACCTATGACCGGTGAAATGAAATGCCCTTGGTTATACCTTTGTCTTGCGCATTCCATTCCATCTCCTTCAATGTCGATGCAACACATGCACCAACATGATCAACAATGATATGATCCACTTCATATCATCATGTGATCATATTGGTTCATCGATCTTGACTTCACCTGCTTTTCACCGTTGCCTTCGTCCATCGGCGCCAAGTCTTGCTCAAGCTTCACCGCCACGCGGTCCATCGCTCCAAAGCTTCCGACTTGCCTTTCACGCTTGCAACCGGTCCATCAAGCCAAGTCTTGTCTTGATCTTCTCCACCTTGATCACATGACTCAATGTCATGTCTCATGTGCAATAAGCTCCTTCATCATGACATGTGTGAGCTTTGCAACATCTCCAAGCCATTTTCACCTTCATGTCATATGTTGCTCACACATATGTACCTATGGACTAATTACCTGTGTATCTCACATAAACACAATTAGTCCACCTAGGTTGTCACTCAATTATCAAAACCACACAAGGACCTTCACCGCTCCTCTCTCTTTCTCGAATAGCTCATCAGCCTCATCTCCGCGGTGGCGCGGCCCCTAGCACCAGCAGGCCAGCACCGTCGGGTGCCTCCCCCACGCCCAGCACCGCCGCGCGGCAACCTCCTCGCCACCCCTCCTCCACGCGACCATGACGGGCGGCCTCGAGCAGCAGTGGTGGTCGACCTCGAGCGATGGCGGCGTTGAGTGCGGCTGCCGGCCGGCTGGCCACCTCCTCCTCCTCCACGCCCTCGCGCAGCCACACCGCAAGCGCCGGCCACCTCCGCCTTCTTCCGAGTCCCAACTCCCGGTCTTGCGGTCTCCGTCCCCTTTCTCTTAGCGGGCCTCGGGCCAGCGCCGCCTGTAAAAAATGGCCGTGCTCATCGAGCTGGCCCGGCATGGAATGTGGCCCAACAGGCCGTGCCTAGGCCGTCGGCCAGGCACGAAGGCTCAGGGCGGCACCGCCGGGCTCTGCCGTGCCGTGCCTTGTCGTGCCGTGTCGGGCCGGGCTGGCCCGATGGACATCTATACGCGTAGTGCGAGTACTGTGGTGGATTTGCGGGTGGGGTGACGAAGCAAAGGGTTTTGTGGGGCTTTTGGTGCCCTTTATTTAATCCGGGTACTTTAAATAGGCCCATTTTTCCAGATTCAAAAAGACACGGGACAGGATAGATGCACATGTTACAACTCCTCCAAGCCTAAAATGCTGTACAGGGAGGAGTCATCTAAAAAAATCCTAAATGGATATAAAAATACCAATATTTATGATGCATAGGTAAAAAAAATATTATACTCCATTCCAAATTATAAGTCATTCCGGTTTAGATTTTGCTACGTATCTAGATATATATTATGTCTAAATAAATAGTCAAAGTTATGTATTTAGAAAAGTTAGAACGACTTATAATTTAGAACGGAATGAGTATTAAATTAGTAGTAAAATATCTTTTCATAATAAAAATATTAGAAGATACAAATGTTAATAATATTTTCTATAAATCTAGTTAAATTTGAAAAAGTTTAATTCTTCGAGAAGCTTGAAAGGGAGGAAGTACATTCATACATTATACTGAAAGTGGCTTTTAGTAAATAGAAAAGCTTGAGAGGGAGGGAGTACATTCATACATTATCCTAAAAGTGGTTTTCAATAGAAGACGCTATAGGCTCATTTGTCACTAGGACCTCTGTAGTTAAGGTGTGTTTACATGTATGGACACTAGTGGCCCGGTATATTTCGCTGAAATTTAGCTTATGCTGATTTATTGTGAGAGAAAAACACCGTTCATTTACTGAAAAGTACTGTTGAAGTAGCGTTGCAGAATAGGACGACTATTTGCACCTCGTTTGTCCCATACCAAAGCACATGCCTGTAAGTAGAGCAGGGTTCAAAGGTTTTCTCGAGAAAGTCTTTTTCTTAGACAAAATGCCTGGGGCTGTCTTTCCTGGCAGATCCCGCACATCAATTTTTTTTTTCAGAAATTTCACTGAAGTGTGGAGACAGGCATGGGAATTTAATTTGCCAAAAAAAAATATGTATCCTGTACAACTGATACATGACACAAGAAAGATGCAGATGAAGATTGGCTTAAAGGTTCCTTTCATGTCTTTTCTATCTTTCCTTTCATTTCCCGAGAATGCTACAGTTTTTCAATGAAGAAAACCATCCCATACCCCAGACAAACTCAGATGGAAAAATCAGCTTACAATATCCTCAAAACCACTCACCTTTTCTACTGATTCACATGAGACAATAAAGAAAAGAAAAACTAGGTAATATTCGATTAACCAGAGCAAATAGGTATAGGATCAGCAACTAGGTCATATTCGATTAACCATGGAAATGCCCATCTGATTGACTTCAGTTATCTATCTAAATTATTGGGCCAATATAGTCACTGTTTCTTCTTAATGTAAGAATGCAATGCCCCTTCTCTTTCTCTTTCTTTCTCTTCCCCAGTTAGCCGCCCATGATTCGCCTGATGGCTGCCCGCTGTGATGACGATAACCTCATTGGGAAGGTCACATCGAACTTGATTACCAGTTTTCCCTTCTTCCCAGGTTCCTTCCTGATTGGCCACCCTTCGTTCTCCAGCACAACTTCGTACCCAGGGCGCACAACTTCCTCCACCCTCACAGGCAGATTCCGTCCATCGAGGGTTCTGAGGTTTATCTCTGCCCCAGCAAGGGCATCTACCAGAGGGATCTCCTGCTTTACAAGAAGGTTGTTTCCTTCAAGATTGTACACATCGTGGGGCTTTGAATCGAGGACAAAGGTCAGGTCTTGTGCTAACTGGCCATGCAGCCTATCGCCTTTGTTGGGGAATGTAATCTTGGTGCCCTTCTTCCAGCCAGGTAACACTTCAACTGCCAAGACCTCTGTTTCAACTTCTACTCTTCTGCGTAAGATGAGATTTGGATGGAGTCAGAGAATCAGCATAATTTCTATCTCAGTAAATGCAACCACCGCAAACTGATTCAACATACTAAAGATAATCATGCTGCCATGAAATTGACAAAAAAAAGGAAATAACTTTGTGATAGATATTTGTTTCAAAAGTAACAGTAAGGACTTGTGATCCATAACTAATTAGCTATCCGAATTGCTTAAGAATTTTATCTCGAGAAGGAAAGTTGGCATGCAGGACTTTGCCATGAAACAAGAAGTCTAGGATTACCAAGGAAGATGTCAAAATGGCATGATTGATGATATTCAAGAACTGTTTTCATGTCAAGCAATCAAACCACTGTGTGTTTAACAGCCAGCAGGCCAACTTCTCCTGAATAACACTGGTTAGGCCGCTGAAGTCAGGAGATCGATGAAGCCCTGTCACCAGTCCAGGTTCAAAGGCTGGCACAAACTTATTAAGAACAAAATCCGGGAGGATGTCTCTCCCCCCAGTTAAGTTTTTTACCAGTCAGCAGGCTCATCAGTGTTAACTTAATAAGAGTTCATGCAGACATTAGCCTGCCCTTGCAGTCAAATGTTCAAATTAACTTTCTAGAATTTCATTCCGGAGTGCTAAGAGGTAAAAAAAATAGTATGCATTATGACTGCTGTGCAATCGAAAAGGGCCAAATGTGATACTGTTGCATGTTTGCAAGTTCCTGTAAAACAGGTTAGATACACAAACAAAAATAAGTCCTGTTGACAGATTTTCAACTCAAGCACCATGTATATGCATCCAGCCTTCATGTTTTACTAAAATCGAAACATACATCTTGCCACCGCCACCCCAACCCCTCCCAAAAAAAACTGGGAAAGAAAAGTTAAAAGAAAATATATAATGGACTCATAACATGCGAATATGCGATGCAAACAGAAGATAATTACAAAATATATATTAGCAAAGCCAAAGCATATCTTAACTGTCGCAGAAGAGTCATGTCTGTGTGGGCTTGAATTTCCAAATTATCTAAATGTGTTACTGACCCAAACTCTTGTCCAGCAAAAAGGAGAAAATCATAACATTGAGGACCAACTTATGACTACAAAGATATCATAGAAATATGAGGAAAGTAGTACAACATACCCATCTGGCTTTGCAACATTCCTAGTGATCTTCATTTTCCTTTTTGTTCCATTGTACAACTCTTCAAGGGTACAAAGTAATGTTTTTTCCACAGGCGGTGACTTTTCTACATGGCTTGTACTGGCACCACTCTCTTTCCGTGAACCAGAAGGAGCTTCGCTTCTACTGTTCCTTGCTGAAGTCCAATGTGATCTTGGTTGGAATCGTGTCCGGTCTTGGTCGAAGGAGTAAGTCTTGTTGCTTGCCATGAACTCAGAAAAGAAATCATCTGGGTCACTAGGATTGTACCGGAAATTACTCGGACCACTTGGGCCAGCAGTTGTGGAGGACCGGCTCTGGGAACCAGGTGGAGGCATCCCCTTTAAGCCTTCCTCACCATATTGGTCATAAATTGCACGCTTCTCTGGATCACTTAGTACCTGCACTAATCATCTAGAGTTGGTCAGCAAAGAGCAAATAAGCAACACAGCTCTTGAACTGAACTTTTGCATTCGGAGTCCTAGAAGATTGTATGCAATGATTTTTCAGCACTACAGGCTGGAAGTAAAATAAATACAATGGGTACAAGTCCATGTGAAAGTGTCATGTGTGGGCGGGTGTACGCCCGGCGCAGCGCCAGCCTGCATGACATACGCAGGAAGCGCTGAAAACATTGTGAGGCCGATCAGGCACGTCGTGGCTAGGAGGCCTCAGTTGGAAAGTTATCAGGATTAGTTCCCTTATTATTATTAGCATCTATTTGTTACCTTAAGATTAGGAGTTTGTTTTCCTTTTGTTGGCAGCCGCAAGGCTATATATATTATGGTAACCGGACTTGAAGAAATTTAAGCAAGATTGTTATCATATCTCCCATCTAATCTCAAGCCTGCGGTAGAGGGGCATAACCTCACCGGAGAAGACGGCAGCGAAAGGCTACGAGCTCCAAATAGGCCTGCGCCGAGGGGTTCGACGCCTTGACAACATCGAGGTCAGTCCTCTTCGCTTCACGATCCGCCCGCCAAGACCTCCCCCGCAACCACCGTAGACCCACAACCCACCCACTGTGCCCGACCATGATGGCCGAGCCTACCTCGACCGATCTTTCAACGAGATGAAGAAGGTGTCCGCCAAGATCTCCACAGAGGCCGATGTCGCCTAAGGAGAAGGCGCCCACGGCCGAGAGCGCCGACTCGCGCCGACAATCGCCGCGATCTCGGTTCCATCCGGCACAAGAAGTGGGATTTTCCCACTATGATGGCACGTCCGACCCCATGCCGCTTCCTCCACAAGTGCGAGGCGATTCCGGCAACATCGCACCATGCCGGAGGAGCGCGTGCGCATGGCGGCCTACCACTTGGACGACGCCGCAACCGTGGTTCATCCAAATGCGGGAGGAGGGCGAAAGGCACGCCGTCCCAGGGGCATTTCAAGATCTCCCGGACAAGTATGTTCGAAGTTGGCGCAGCGGCTGCCGCCCGCGCCGTGGAGGAGTATGCCAATCGGTTCCAGCCTCGATCCCTCGCTATGGCCGGCTCGACGAGGCGCAACAGGGCGCCTCGGGCCTCCACTCAAAACAACGCCGTCCGCATCCACCATCCGGACACCTCGTCGCCGCTTCTCGGCTTTCCAAAGCCGACCGACCGGCAGAGGCAGCACCACCGCTTCCACCGCGCGGCGCTGCCGCCGCCCCGCCGCCCGCCGCCTCCTGGTTTCCTCCTGACCACCCGCGGGGGCTGGCAAAGGGCTCCAGCGCCCGTCTTCTTTGGCCGACCGCCCGTCGCCTCGGTTTGTGCTTCAACCGCAATGAGAGGTACACCCGTGGCTATAACCGCTTCGCAGCGCATCTTCTTCGTCGAAGGGTCGAACCGAGGCCGAGGTCGAGGACGCCGCCGCTGTGGACAACGCCGAGGCGCCTGCTTTCTCTCGCAGCGCCGCCGGGGCTTAGGTGCGGCGGGCACCATGCAGATCCACGGTGGGCTGGGGCCCCGATGCTCGTGGCTTTCCTCGACTCGGGCAAAGACGCACAACTACATCGCGGAAGACGCAGCGAATTAAATACGGAGCGCGCGTCGCGTGCGGCGTCCTCCTCGCGCGCCCCCTATGAAGTCGTTCCCGCCGACCTCTTCGTCATGCCGTTGGCGAGTACGACGACAATACGTCCTCGCACCTACACCCTCGGCGCGCTTCGGGCTGCTCGGGACCTCAAAATGGCCTTTGTCGTTTGAAGGCCAGCCGCACTCTTCTCCCGGACTAATTTAAGTCGTTCTCTCCGCATCAAGGCGACACTCGACACCGACTCCTCGAGGGCGCTTTGCTGCCACAGACGGGGGTTCGCCGACCGACCGGTTCGCCTCTGTCGCGCGCGCACGACCATCGCATCATGCTCAAAGCCGGACGCTTGCAGCCGGTGGCCGTCATTTACCGTACCGCGCGCCCACAAGGATGAACAACGCCGCGGCGCCGCCATGATGGAGCGAGCATCGTCCGCCGAGCACGTCGCCCGCCGTCCTCCTCGTCAAGAAACCGGACGGTCGTGGCGCTTCGCGACTACAGAAGCGCCGAACGACCTTTCCCATCCCGTGGTCGACGAGCTCCTCGACGAGCTCCACGGGCTCGCTTCTTCACCAAGCCGGACTGCGCTCGGGCTATCACCAAGTCCGCATGCGCCCGAGATAATCCACAAGACGGCGTTCCGCACCCATGACGGCTTGTAAGTTCTCGGTCATGGCGTTCGCCCGCACAACGCCCCCGACCTTTCAAGCCCCGATGAATGATGTGCTCCGGCCGCCCTCCGCCGCTTCGTTCGGTATTTTTGACGATATTTTGATCTACAAAGACGACGTATGGCGGACCATCCGCGACACCTCCGGACCGTCCTCGATACACTCCGCCGCCACCGGTTGTTCGTCAAGCGGTCCAAGTGTTCTTCTTGCGCCCAAATTCCTACCTAGGCCACATCATCTCGGCGGCTCAGGTGGCCATGGACCCGGCGAAGGTCCAGCGATCGTCGACTTTGCCTCCCCGGGCGGTGCGCGGCTTCCTCGGCCGCCGGATACTACCGCAAGTTCGTCCCACAATTATGGGGCGATTATGCGGCACCGATTCTTGAAGGAGGGCTTCTCGGGGACGACTCCACGTCAGCTGCGTTCAAGCTCTCAAGGTCATTGTGGACGACGGCGCCCGTGCTCGCCATGCCCGACTTCGACAAGCTCTTCATCGTCGAGTGCGACGCCTCTACGTCCGGGTTCGGCGCCGTGCTGGTCCAGGAGGGCCACCCCGTCGCGTTCTTCAGCCGGCCGGTGGCGCCCCGCCACTCCTCGCTTCGCCCGCGATGACGAAACCGATCGATCGGTTGGTCCAGGGTCCGGCATCGGGCGGCCGCATACTTTGGGGGCGACGCTTCATAGTCAAGACAGATCACTCACCCTCAAGTACCTCCTCGACCAGCGCCGCCACTTGATCCCACAACATCATTGGGTCATCCTCGGTTCGATTTCCCGGTCGGGCGCCACTAACGTCGCCGCCGACGCTTCTCTCGCGCGCGATCAGGTCGTCTGGCCATCTCCGCTCTCGCTTTGACCGTCGACCGACGCCCGAGCCACATCCGGCCTTGGTCGCCATACGCCGAGCCATGGCTCGGTGTTCACTGCTGTGGCGCCGGTGGATGGCATGGTCGCCACGCCGGGCGCCAGACATCCACCGGCGTCGCCGCCGCTGCGAGAGATTGTGGCCGCCGTCCACAATGACGGTCACGAGGGGATCCACCGCACCTCCATCGGCTCCGGCTCGTGCGACTTTCATTTTCCCAACATGCGTGCTTTGGTGCGATTAAGGCTGCGTCACCGCCAGTGGGTCGACCACCGCAATGGGCCCGGCTTCAAACTGTTGCCGGTGCCATCGGCGGTCCAGGCCGACCTTGGCATCGACTTCATCGAGGCGCTTCACAAGAATCATCCTCTCCGTGGTGGATCGCTTGACGCCATTTTATTCCTTTGGCACATCCTACACCGCCGAGTCGGCCACGCCAGCCGACATCGTCCGCCTTCCAGGTGCCGCATCCATCACGTCCGGACCGCGACCCGCTTCACATCGGCGTTCGGCAGGAGCTCATGCGGCTCACCGGGACAAAGCTTACATGTCCTCGCCTTCCACCCACAGACGGAAAAAAATCGGGTCATCGTCATGTACTGCGATGTTACCACGATAATTCGCCATGGATCCGGTGGCTGCCGCTGGGGGAGTACACCTACAACACCGCCTTTTCGATCGTCCTGCGTGAACCCCATTCCGTGTGTTTACTGGCGAGGGGACCCGCCACCATTCGTCCCCGAGCAGGTTTCGGTCGTGGCCGTCGCTCAAGAGATGGAGGAGAGGGCGCTTCTGGACGACATTCGTGTCCGTGGAAGCGAGCAGGGTCCAAGGTCCGTGGTCAGCATCAAGACAAGGCTGGCGCATATGCCTGCGGTGCGTGGGTGCTCGTTGGTCCGTATAAGGTCACCGAGGTCATCAATGAGGCGGCCGTGCGCTGAGCTACCCGGATGCCCGATGTGTTCCACGTGGCGTCCTCAAGAAGTTTGTGGGGTCACCGCCACCGCTTCCACCGGCGTTGCGCCCTCTCCAACGGTGCCGTGCCGTGTCGCGCGCCATCGCGGGTGACACAGGCCGCTGGCTCGTGGAGTTCGCCAAGTCCTCGCCGAATGGGAGGTCACGACCCACTCACGGCAGCCTCTCCCGAAGACCTCGACGATTTCCGACTTTTCGCCGTTTCAGCCGAGGACGAGCCGGACTTCGAGGAGGAGAGATGTCAGGGCGGGAGAGCGCGCGCGACATACGCAGGCGGCCGAGGAGTGAAACGCGTCGTGGCTAGGAGGCCTCAGCTGGAAAAGTTATCGAGATTAGTTCCTTATTATTATTAGCATCTATTTGTTACCTTAAGATTAGGAGTTTGTTTTCCTTTTGTTGGCGTAATATATATTATGGTAACACTTGAAGAAATTTAAGCAAGATTGTTATCCTATCTTCCATCTAATCTCAAGCTCCATAACCTCACCGGAGAAGACGGTCAAGGCTGCTCCGCAATGAGGCCCTCACAATGGGTTCGACACCCTTGACAGAAAGTGACGATTAGAAGAGAAGGAAAACATTGTGATTTTGCTCTGTCTTGCTATTGCATTTAAAGTTTTAAACAATATGCAGTAACCGTACTCATGTTATATTACATTATTACATGACCATAGTAAATGCTGAAGGTAGATGCAGACCATGAGAGAACATTTTTTAACTCACAGAAGTTATCTTATGGTAACAAAGAAGTCCTAACTTCACCATTTCAAACCACTGCAAATCAAATTAAAGTAAGGAATAACACTTCCAAGATGGTGGGACAGTATGACTACTTTTGAAACTTATAAGTACAACAACAGAATCACAACATGTTTCGTTTGGCATAAAGCATCAACAGCAACCTATATTATAAAATTGTATCCCTTTTTCCTAATATTTTTAAGTAATCAATTCGGACGGATGATGAATACTCTCGCTTTGTGAATTAAATAAACACATGAACCTATACGTTGCACTTTGTATATCCTAGATGCACACTGAAAATGGTAAACAGGAATTTAAGACAATTTGAGGATACATTTAGAGGAAACATAACTTCACTTATTTATAACAACTAAAGACTTTCCACGCGACCGTGTACTGGTATCAGCATATAACCAACCAAACAGTTAACAGCTATCTTTTTCTTCCAAAAAATGTGAGCATGTGCTCTTCCTAGATACATCACATTGGAAGGAAAGTTCGTCTGCTAAATTCACTTGCCTCATACGCCTCCGTTATCTGCTTGAACTTTGCCTCAGCCTCCGCCCCTCCAGTCGGATTCTTGTCAGGATGCCACGTCCTTGCAAGCCGCCGATACGACTTCTTGAGGTCCTCCAAGGTCGCATTGCGATTCACCTTGAGGATGTTGTAGTAATCCATTCCCAAATGCGTAGTGAACCCTAGATCATCGTTTCTACAGGCTCCACTGCTTTTTCAGGAGCCTAAATTCACAGAACAGTTGTGAACCCCAGTCTTTGATTACGTCGAGTGGTCCTTCAAACTTGAAGGAATATGCTTCACAAGAATCACCAGGAGACAGGGCGGACCCAGGACACAGGTGTGCACACGTACACCCAATAATTTGCAAAAAAAAAATCGAAGTTAGTAGGCATAATACATTCAGATCCGGATATAAATAGCGAAATTGCTTAAGTTAGGGTTCGGGTGCTCGGTTTCGCACAGCAGGAAGGGAAGACAAGGGCTGGCGCATACCTGGTGGGTGCTCGTCGCCGGCG